ACCTATTAAAATGGCAATAGATATGATTGTTTTGCAGCTCAAACTTATGTAATGTGAAGCTCAGTGCTGTGAAGAAGTTGTCGTGCACCCCCCCCCCCGTTATCTGCCGAGACCAGGACGGTCATTTCAACAAGACTATTTTTAATTGCTACGGTTTCTGTGACTTCAAGTCAAGTAAAACAAGCTCAAACATTAAATAAAATGAGTACATCTGATCAAGTGCATCGGTTTTCGAACCTGACGGGAGTGCGATTCAACTAGACTTTCGGGAGTAACGTTGAGTCTGCGCCATTTTCCAGAGTTGGGTCACTAACATGATGAGAAGCTAAAGCTAAGCTAACGCTACCACAGGCTAACCCACGTTCAAWCTGTGCTGCTCCTTTCTTACACAAATTCATATTTTTAGACGTAATAAGGCCAGAAATCTTACCGCTCTGGATCCAGAGGAAAGCTGACGAGCAGAGTGGTGTTTTCGGATTGCTGCTGCTGATAATCACAGTTCGCTGCAGCGCAGCAGTCAGTCATTTTGAACGGGAGGGTAGCTAGCAAAAATGTTAGCTAGCGTTTGCAGAGTGGCAAACCTACTGTAAGCAAACTCTGCCCACAGACTTACACATTGGGCAAAATCTGAAACAGATACAGTTAAATTTCGAAGCTATTGATATCTCTTTAACCAACTAAGAACCCGCTAATTCCATGCTTTTTAAAAGTTGAAGTTGTGAGAAATGCTAACACACCGCCGAAAGCGTGTTTTCGCAACAACCAGGAACTAGTCCGTGCAGTACAATACGATGACCAGCAGAGGGCAGCGTGGCGCAATTCAGTCAGCCCAAGAGTTTTCATGTCAAGATGATTCAGCTCTCAGATTTCATCATTCGTATTAATGTCTGTGAGATTTTATGACAAATACAAAGCCAGTTCCCCAAGTGGGGAATGACTAGCTTTATATTTGTTAAGATATGAATAATATGGCTGACAAAAATAACAATTATTAGCTATTTTGTAACATGTAAATTAAAATAATGTGTTTAGAGTTTACTAGTTATTAAAATATTTATACRGCTCGCATTCAGTGATATTGATTGGATTTGAAAAAATTAATGTGTGGCAATGAGATAACTTGATACAAGATAATTTTGRGCAGTCGTGTCTCTGAGAGATACAGACATTGTTGGAGTCATAAAAAAATGAATGTGAGTCCACAAGATAATAACTCATGGCCACAAGATAGTTAATGCGTGGCCAGGTAATTATTATACTCATTTAATCAAAAAATTATCTGACATACTTGTTTTGTTCACTGTTTACATTTGAACAGGCCTCTGGCCAGCTGCTCTACAGCAGTATTTTGTTTTTGGAACAGGAACGAGTTGGTAAAACTATTGATCCAGTAAGTTTATTATCAATATGGTCTGAGACCAATGTTTCCATCATATGAGTGGATTCTCAGTCATCTAGGACATGAAAAATAACAAAAGACAAAGCAACAGACTTCTGTTCTGTAGCTGAAGACGAGTAGAGCTACAAGATTAACAGCATGACTCAAGGTTTATATCATTATGGATCAATCTGCTCACCCAATTTTACCATGTGGTATCACTTTAATTCAAACTCAGATCCTCAGAGGCCTGGSAGCTTGAGGGTTCTAAGCAAAATCTAAAGGCCCTGTCACACTGTGAAGTTTTAGACAACTTGTGCCGAATTATGAAACTTTGATCCAGCAAGTTGGTAAGAACTGCATAAGTTTTGAATCAGTGGCGCCTGCAGAAATTATTTTCAGGGGCGGCCGCTGAAAAACCAGGGGTGGCACACCAAAACTAATATCCATAACAGAAATTTTATGATGTGTTTGTAAAAATGACAATTTGAAAACTATGGCAAAATAAAGGCTGAGGTTTTGCCAACAGATGTTCATTTTGTTAAATTAAAGATAATATATACTGATTTTGTGATGTTCAAAGACAAAAAACAAAAACCCAAACTATCTGTACTTCTGCAACAGTTCATTTTTAATGTTTTCTGCATCTTTACACGTAAATTGTACTTACATTGTTGCATATTTCAGGGGCATCAGAAGTATTTGTAATGTTGGGGGGACCCACTGGTGGGGGGTCTGGGGGTCCTCCCCCAGAAAATTTTGAATGTAGATGTCGTTTCCTGTATTCTGGTTGTTAAACAGAACTTTAACTACATAAGAAAGCACTTAGTGTGAGTATCTAAAAATCAAGGGGAATAAATTTATTTGTTTAGCAATAGAAACAACACTGACTGGGTGAAATTAAATTTTATAATAAATATGGAGGTTCAAATGAATTAAATTTTAAATGTGATGGGGACACTTCCCCTCAAAAATGATTGCTGTGATGTCATTTTATTTAAAAATGTCAAAATATATGTTTTAATGACATTTAGGAACAAGCTTTCTCCACCTCTTCTATGTATGTTAAAAGTTTTATTTGCTTGTTGATGTTTACTTTTGTGAAGAAAAACTGTGATTATAAAAACCCAAAACTGGAAATAAAGACTAAAACAATCATAATTACAAACTACATCTACTGTAGTGTTATCCCAAAATATTATTTGCTTTTTCATGACATATTAGTTTTAATAAATATGATTTTGGTCTGGGAGAGGAAACTGGAGAACCTGGAGAAAACCCACTCCTGCACAGGGAGAACATGTGAACACAACCCAGAAAGCTATTCTAGCAATCCTCTTTCTTAAAAGCAACATGTTACTCTACCAACTGTGCTGCCCAATTTTATATTTATTATATAATTATTTAATGATATATTTAATTAAAATATACTCCATCTATCAACATAACCTCCTGAGAACCTCCATCTTTGAGAACATTGGTTTTAGACTGGTTGTTCTTATTCAGGGGAGCTACATTTTAATTTTTTCTCATTTCAAATAAAATTTAAATTAATATTTTTAACTCTTATTTGTAAAAAAAAAATCAATGTTTCTTTTTATATTTAAGAGTTTCTATTCCTAAATAGCTGGGGGAAATATAAAAAGGAAAAGGATAAAACTGGGCACCCGTTTTGAATATGCTTTCAGAACGATGACCAGCCAATAATTTTGGACATACWCTAAGACTTTCAGCTTATGCATGTGCCAACCATGACAGCTCCACAACATCCAGAGCCTTCAGCATCTCAAGTCTTGGCCGTTGCTACGACTGGTTGCGGTGAAAAAAGTGCTGAGACGAAAGGCTAAGCTCTATGTTTCAACCCTCACCTATGGTCATGAGCTCAGAGTAGAGCCGCTACTCCTCTGCATAGAAAGGACTCAGTTGAGGTGGTTCATCTGATTAGGATGCCTCCTGGACACCTCCCTTCAGAGGTGTTCCACACGTCCCACTGGTAGGAGGCCCCGGGGAAGAACCAGGACTCACTGGAGGGTCCCTCTCTGGCCTGGGAACACCTCGGGGTCCCCCAGGACGAGCTGGAAGTATGGCTGGGAGAGGGAGGTCTGGGTTTGAGAATTGATATTTTACTATTTTAGTAGTAAAAGATCTTTAGAAAAATAAACACAACAAAGAAGTGTTCAATCGTGAATTTTATTTATTGAATCCTTAAATCACTTTATGATACAAAAGAAAACTAACAGATAAAGCTGAAAGAAATTCAATAAAACTCAACTTAGTACAAACTGAGTGGCTCAATATCAGGTGCTGTAAAACCAATGTAGGAGTTGTGCCCACACTGGAACAATAGCAATAGAAAACTTTTGATCATAATAGGAAAATGTGTAGCGAAGAAAAATAAATGCCTGACACTTTTACAGTAATCAGTCGTAGTTATGAACCTCAAAAAATATTTCTGGTTCAGAAATTATGAGGATGACCAAACAAATGTAACATCACATTTCTTTATTTGCACATTTATAGTGCTAACAACGTTCCCAATAGCAGGGCTCCAATTTAAGTTCATGTCTCAGACATAACTTACAGAAACTTTTGATTTAATATCTGTTAGCTTAAAAATAAAAGCAAAATGTGTGTGAGGCATTTATATTCAGTCTGGTTCTGGAACCACAAACAAGTAAAAGAAAAAAAAATTCACCCCATTTTAATCCAAAGTTTTTATTTGTGTGCATCAAATATGTTTAATTTAGACTTTGTTTTCAGTTTAACAAAACTTTAGCTGCTTTTAATAGATTTATTTTTCCATTGAAAAACACATCAGGGTCTAAACTGAGATGGTGATGAAGATTTTTTATTTTTTTAACATTCAAAACAATTGAAAATGTGATTTATTTTTGGAGCAATTAAAAAATGTATTGAATCTTTAGAAAATAAAAAGTAAATAAAATCTGAAAACAGGAAAGTTTTTCCAAAGTCACTTCATTTTTTAAAAACACTTATTAAACCTGAAATACAAAACTATTTTCATACTTTACCATACTGCACAGATACTCTGCAGCAGAACGTACTCAGCTTCAGTTATGAATGGTGACGGAAGGAGGGAAAATTGCTGGTATCTACGGTAAGAAGCTGTCTGACAAGGAAAACAGGGTCGCTACATGTAGACAATCTAACCTTACAAATAAAATATACCAGTCTACAGGAAGTCAGAGTTTTATTTTAAGGCATCAACAGTAAACCAGCACATCTGTCTGGAGGCTCAGGACTCATCCTGCCTCTCAGGGAACATCTTCATGTACATCTCAACCATGGAATCCAGATCTAACTCAACATCCTCATTTATGTTCAAAAGAGCAAGACTTCTTGATTTGAATTTGTCAGGTATGTTCTCCAGGTACATCCTGAAGCGCTTGTATGCTACATCACAGCTGTCCTCCACAGGCAGGGTGGGCAGGATCCTGAGAAGTCTCAGGACAACCAAAACGTTGGGAAAGAACTTGACATCAGCGAGCTGCAGCGTCTCATGGAGGCTGGAAGGAAAAGTCTCCCCTTTGCCCTTTTTGCTCCATTTGACCAACCAGCAGTGCAGCTCAGCGGAGAGGCTTGCAGCATTCGGGATGTCATCATTAAACATCTGCAGGTTCAGCTCTTCAGGCTGAGTGGTCTTGTTCTGCTCTATAACAGCAGGTACAAGAGACAAACACCTCAGGGTCTCCAGGTGGGTGTCGCTGAAGAGCTCATCCACTTCCCTCATGATGTGGTTAACCACGGGAACAGACAGGTTCTCCTTGTAGTACGTATCTGGCTGAATGGTTCCAGGTTCCTCCTGGTGTTTCCAAAAGAACAAGCGAGGAACACTGACTGGGATCTCCATAGCTGTGGCTAGGTTAACAGCCTCATCAAACCAGAACTCATGGTACACGTCAATGTTGTCAGACACCTCCTTCAGAGCGAGCGTTACAGCTTTAAAACTAACTGCAGCTAAATGGGCTTCTGCTGCTTCCCCTTGTAGGTTTTTCCCAAAAGCCTGTGTGAGCACCGTAACGTTTTTCAGCACCAGTAACGCCATGATGAACTCAAAATCAGTCAGTGCCTTAGAGATTTCTAAAGCGTTGTGTGCGACTTGGTCACTCCACCTCATGTCCTCGTTGTCGTGCAAGCTGTCCACACAGAGCAGCAGAGCCTCTAAGACTTCCAGGGCCACCTCGAAYGCATCGGGCCCTCTGGTCCAGCTGGTTCTGCAGATTTCTTTCAGCTCGTTGGCTTTGTCTTCCTTGTCMGGGTAGAAAATGGAAATGGCATGCTCAAATTCTAACTGCAGCAAAGGTGACTCGCGGAAAAAGGAATCAATCTTCTTAAAGGTGGACATGACGAGCTGAACGCCGGACAAGCTGATACTGTTGGCCAGTGACACATTCAAGGCATGAGTAGATCTAAAGGTAAGTAGTGCCTTTGGATACTTTTCAGTCACTTTGGCAGCAAAAGCTTTAACTTTCTTGAAATGTGTCCCAGAACTAGAGTGGGCTTGGCTTCTACAGTGGTCCATGTCTAAACCCCATTTGTCAACCAACTCAGTTAACATTTTCTCAGCCACGTCATCGCCTTCAACACTCAAGAACCCTGCAAACCTTTCCTGTAGGCATTTAGACTGGTCCAGAAAACGAATAAAGACTGGGAGGCACCAGTTATTTGAGATCTTCACTGGCTCATCAGTGAGCAAAGAGAAATGGCCATTTAGGTTAACTTCCTCTATAAGCTTACTGCACACATACTTCTCACACACCTCAGTCAGCTGATCGAGCTCCTCTAAGAAGCAGAACTGCTTCGATGCATCGTACTTTTTCTTCAGTAATTCATCTCCACAGTTAATGCCATAATCTAGCAAAGCCTGAAAGAAGCTCAATTTAAGACCTTCGTTATCATCAGCAGAGACAGAAGGAGGGATGCCTTGCTTTCCCAACAGTAGAAGTGCTTCGAATAAAGACTTGAGATACTTTTTCTGTTCTCCTTCCGGCGCTGCCTGGGTATCTTCCTGAGGGGCCTCAGGAGGAGATTTCTTGATTCCTGACAGAAACATAAATACAGTGTTATTTATGTAGTTATTTTGTTTTTCTGTCAAGTGATACAATTAACAGTAATACAATTTTTACTTACTTTTTCTCCCCCTACCCCCTACTGTTTCATCATCTTTGGCCTGCAAAAACAAAGACAGACTGAAATAATGATGAAAAAACAATTCAACAACATAAAAAACAACAAAAAAGAAATATTTGTCCTTCTACCTTGTGTGACATCAGGAAGCTAGGAAAGTACCACGAAAATCAACTTTATACTACTTACCACACCATATATAGCTAGAGCTTTGAACTCAAACAAGCTGAGCTGAGTGGTGCAGTGATGAATGTTCAGACCTCCATGTTGGAGAAACTAAATATCATCTTCATGGCTCAACACAGGAGAACCAGRTTTAAAAACAAATCTGAGAATAATAAGTGATGATCGTCAAACTTTAGACAGAGAAGACAGATGTCTTGAGAGGGACAGAAGAAATGAGAAACTAACTTCAAACAAAGATGTCTCAAGTTTCCCTCTAATTCACACCTTTGTTCACACAACCAAAGCATCTCTTTGTGAACCGGGCAAAGCCGACGATTCTCAGGTGGGAAAGAAGAGAAGAATCTGCCTTTGAATTTGGGTGAATAAACAGAGTTTGAAGCTTGGAACTGACATCTTGCAGATAGTTTTATTTTGAAGTTTTTATATCTGGCTTGAAATGTAGCTTGCAATACGCATGAATTCATTCAAGGTATGCTAGGTCTTTAATTAAGCCTTTCTTTGTGGGGGTACAAATGTTTATTTGCGATTTTTATTAAAGGGGTAATATTATGTGTTTCTCAGGCATATATTTAAGTTCTATACCATAATAAAGTATCTATGCCACCTTTAGTTGTTATTAAAATGCTGTTTTTTATGTTTAAATAGAAAATAAACTTTTCTTGTCATCATTTCCATTTTTAAATACATTGAAATTGGCCTCCCCCCCATTTCAACACATGGGGGAAGGGGGGGTGCATTGTAGGGTTGGGCGATATTGGCAAAAAAATTAATCAYGATTAATTGTGGTATTTAGCCRAWAACGATTAATTTGACGATTAATCCCCTGGAGTCCCTGGACAACCTTATGTCCTAGTCACATGACCAATTTAGTGGGAAAAATTTGCTCTTCATAAAAATCTGTTCCAATTTGTCAAAATTACAGACTTCGAGCTATACATCAAATTTTTAATTGTGTTGATAGATAAATAAATTTCAGAATTTATTTATTTTTAATGTTCGTCATATTTGAAGCGGAGAGGAGCACCGAGCGGACTGACCGGGGAAATATCTAGTCAATCTGCCTGGTGGCATTAATTGTATTAATCGTCAGGTGCCAAAAAATAATCGATTAACGTTTTTCTGACGATTAATTGCACACGATACGATTATGCCCAACCCTAGTGCATTGTGATATGGAAGCTCAGTGTAATACATTTCCTCAAAGGTATTTTGAATTTGAAAAGGGCTGCGCTCAGAAGTAGTATTGGGGGCTCAAYAGATGTTTCAGTTTGCTTTGTTGCTGCAGAGAGCCTGCAGGAGTTACAGGCGGGGGGTGGGTGTGGTGCTCTGTGATGAAGAAGCTCAGCTTGGAGACAGCCCAGAGGCAGAGCTGGTTCTAGTCCCAACCAGTGGTTTTTGCTCCCCTGCCTGGCTGCCTCAGGACACTACAGGATTTCTCAAACAAGCATGGTCATGTTTTTAATGAGAGGATAACATTGTAACATGATATAAAACTCAAAAAAGTTGATTTTACATGATATAGCCCCTTTAATTATTTTTTTTACAAAACATTGTTATCAAATGAAACTCTATCAATTGAACAACCCAAAAACATAATTGTCTCATATGGTTTAAAAGACCGATTTGTTTTACTCACCGTCTCTTTGCCATGCTTCACTTGTTCAGTTTGAAGTTGGGGTGGAAAATCAAACATCGTTGGTACGGCATCAACTTTCAACACTGTGCCTGGAACGTCCTGTAACCAAAGCAAACATATGTGAACCATTATAAAATAAAAAAGGATGCATAATCTGTAAAATACTAAGCGAGGTTTGATCAGTCTGTAAACAAACTGATCAAATGCTCTGAATGATGCTGGGTCAGACTGACTGTGAAAACTGAGGTTATAACTTACACCATCAAATGCAGACGTGTCAAAATGTTTCCCACATAATCTGTAGTATCTGTACAGATGCTCTGCTGGTTTCTCCAGGAGGTCCTTTCTCTGGCAATTTTCAACCCACTTTTTGCACCTGAAAAAAAAAAAAAGTAAAATAAAATCAAGTGTCTTTAATACCCACATACACTTATTAAACTAGAACATTTATAATTCTACAGAAATGTTAACCAATACCAAAGCAGGTCTTTGAAATAGCTAAGTAAAAAAGGCCAATCTGGCCATACGATTACTTCAGGAAACTGTATTTTGGGATATATTAACTTTATTAAGCTTTTTGGTACCACAGGAATTAAAAGCATTTAATCAAAAATAACATTAGTGATAGAATGATACGAGGACTTGTCAAACTTTTTTTTTCTACGTAAGTAAATACAGATACCCTTAAAACTACGTTTCACTGCTTGAATTAGCATCGATGTTTGCTCAGGTTACCTTTGTGGATCATGAGGAAACCGGAAGATCGGCTGAGAGGCTAATTTACCTCCGAGGCAGTTCTGGACAGCGCACTTATTCTGCATGACAAACCTTTAAAGTATAAACGTGTGTTTTGTTTTTGTCGTGAAGTATTTAAGAAGACAAAAGGCAGCTGGTAGCATTAGCTGTTATGCTAAAAATGTCCAAAAAAGTATTTCCGGTTTCCGCCTTCAAAATAAAAAGTACATTTGACAACACACGTTCGGCACTTTGACCTACAAGCCCGCCCAACTTACATTATTGTCAAACAAGTATAATAAGTAGAAATAATACATAATAATAAGTATGTCCAAATAAATTAAATAAACTCCAGACTTTCACATATTGAGTTTAGTACAGTCGTTTTGTTTATGCTTTTATATTGAAGGAAACGTCATTTCCTGTTGATTTTATGTACAGACCGCAAACACGCGCGAGTTTCCCTCTTCTCTCAGCACCTTTTGAAAATWATCCGCTTTGTCATATTTCATTTTATTATAGTGTGGCTTCAAATTCATATTTTGTATAAAAAACATAAGCACAATGTTTGACCAATATGTTTATTTCAAGAGGAGCAAGTAAATAATGAATCAAAACTTCCCGCTTGTGTGATGCGTTTTGTTATTGTCACTGAGAAGCCATGTTCCAGAGGCAGGAAACACTGGGCGGGCTCGGTCCAGTTTTTCAGGAATTCTGTTTGGGTTTAAACATTCAAACGAAAGGCATGTTTTTGCAAAGAGAACAGAAGACGCCAGCCCAGCCCACTCTCGATTTAAGTTTGGTTGCTTGCTTCCTATTGGGTACTAGTTTCTCGCGATATTTGGCGACCAATCATGAGGCAGGAGCTGTGAGTCAAATCAAATCGGGTTTCCTCAAAAAGGACAACCGGCAACCGCTGAGGTTTAACAGGGTGTTCGAGAGGCTGAAGGTGGTGGTGTTTATCTCTGAACAACTCAAGGTAAGATGATGACATGTTGATTTCACATAAAATGACTGTAATTAGTGCGACTGGCATGGGCAGAATGACTGTTTATATCATACGAGTTTACCTTTACGCTAATAACGTTCATTCTGTTGTGAGTCTACGTTTACACGCCAGGTCCTGTATTTCACTAATATACAGTAAAATAAAGCAATTGTGAACATTTTATTTTCCGAATACGTGCACAACTAAACCGTCTTCTGCCTGATAGAAATTTAGACAAAGAGAACTAAAGCCTAAGATGAGAAAGGACTTTGAAACTTTTCAAACTTAAAAATAAGGTTGAAAAAAAGTTATGCACAATAATCTCATGCAAAGGTTAATGTTTATACAGCAAGGGATTGCGTTGTGTGTGTGTGTGTGTGTGTGTGTGTGTGTGTGTGTGTGTGTGTGTGTGTGTGTGTGTGTG